ATCCAGAGATGCAGCTGTCAAGACGAGTTATGTCTTATCCCACACAATTGCAAAAAAAAGTAAACCGTTTTCGGACGGAGAGTTCATTAAGGAGTGTTTGTTGGACTCTGCCGCACTAATATGCCCGGAGAAAAAGGAGGCATTTGAGAAAGTGCCGCTCTCCCGACGCACTGTTACGAGGAGGATTGAGGACATCGCGGGAAATCTGGAGCTTCAGCTGCAGAACAGAGCGGTCAACTTTGACTTTTTTTCCTTGGCTTTGGATGAAAGCTGCGATGTACGTGACACTGCCCAGCTACTCATCTTCCAACGTGGGATAACTACAGACTTCAAAATCACGGAGGAGCTGACAGCCATGCAGTCAATGAAAGGGACAACAACAGGGAGTGATTTGTTCACGGAGGTAAATGCATGTGTGGAAAAGTTGGGACTGAAATGGGACAAGCTGGCAGGCGTGACAACGGATGGTTGTCCAAATCTGACAGGGAAAAATGTTGGACTATTGAAGAGAATGCAGGATAAAGTGACAGAAATTAACCCTGAGCAGAAATTGGTATTTTTGCATTGTATTATACATCAGGAAGTGTTGTGTAAGTCAGTGTTAAAAATTAACCATGTTGTTGATGTTGTAACTAAAATAGTTAACTTCATCAGGGCAAGAGCATTGAATCACAGACAGTTTGTTGCACTTTTGGAGGAAAGTGAGACTGAACATCGTGACATACCCTACCATGCAGCTGTCAGGTGGCTCAGCCTGGGCAAAGTGCTGAAAAGAGTATGGGACCTGAGAGAAGAGATTCAAGACTTCTGTGTGAAGAAAGGAAACGACATCCCACAGCTTTCAGATGCAGACTGGATAGCAGACCTTGGTTTTGCTGTAGATGTGACTGCACTAATGAGTGAACTAAATGTCAAACTGCAAGGCAAGGGCCTTTTTGTGCATGACATGTACAGTGCAGTGAAGGCTTTCATGAGAAAGCTGCAGCTTCTCTCAAGCCAAATGGAGGACAACATTCTCACGCACTTGCCAACACTGAAGGAAGCCACACCATCAGCTGATCACCTCCAGAGGTACTCATCCATGTTAGAAGCACTGCATGGTGAGTTTTCAAGGCGATTTAAAGACTTCAAAACAGTTGAGAATGAAATGAACATGATCTTTTCCCCATTTACATGCCATGTGGATGATGCACCCAGTGATGTTCAGCTTGAACTCATTGACCTGCAGTCTGACACACTTCTGTCAGAGCACTTTAGGTCAGTCTCACTGCCTGAGTTTTACTCTTCCCTGAAAGAGGAGAACTTTCCACACATCAGGAGACGTGCTCAGAAGATGATGGTCCTCTTTGGATCTACCTACATATGTGAACAGACATTCTCAGTGATGAAGTTCAACAAATCCAGATACAGATCCTCTATCACTGATGATCACCTCTCAGCTGTCCTTCGCATATCCACCTCAGACGTTGAACCAGATTTCCGTGCACTTGTTCAAGCCCAAGACAGACTGGATTTTTCTCACTGAACAAGTAAAATTAACTGAAAGACAAAAATCAAAAGCACTCATTTCTTTTTGTATAAAGCTGATTCATTTCTTATCTTTAACATACTGTAAAACACCTTTTCCGTATTGGTATATTGAGCAGAATTAAGTTCAACTTATTTTTGATTCGGCCCCCCAACACAGCTCGAGTTTCTGAAGTGGCCCCTTGTAAAACATAATTGCCCACCCCTGGTCTAGAGGCAAGAGTTTCGGAGCTATGACGCGGCGTCGCTTACGTCTCTCTTACGTCGAGGCGTGCAGGAAACTAAACCCACCTCCCCTGAACATGGGTCGACTGAAGAGTCTCGTCAAAGTGACTAGAAGGCAACCACACACTTATAAAAAAAAAACACACTTTATAAAGTCAGGCAACACTAACCAGGCTTCGTGTGATTCTGTTTATTTGTACTTTACTTTGACCATCCGTTCGCTGTTATTGATCATTGTTGAGAGCAGGCAGCTATCGGATGGAATCAATACATGGGCAGCATAGGTTGTCATGTCCGACTATCACAAGTAGAATCATAATGAAAAATACGCCGGTAAAATGTGCCTGTAGAAAACGGCTTAGCAAGTAGTCAGTTTAGCTTCGGTTGCTATGTTAACATCACCCATGTTATACCAGAGAAACTTTCATAACAGCGTTGTGATGCCAAACAGCGTCAATTCAGACTGACACACATTCACTTAAGGGGAACTGGGGATATGTATCAGCTGCTTGTGTGACAGTCAGACAGTGAATACTTTAGAGCCGTGTGAGCTAACCCGGAGCTAACGGGAGAATAAACTCCCGTGGAAGAGCAGCCAGCACTGCAGCGGTCGCTAAATGAAACACATTAATAAACAATGAACCACGGCACTCTGGAGAAAAGTATAAGGTTGGAGAAGTCGTTATTTAATTTAATCTGGCTTCGTATGATTAAAAGCAACACGATCATCGATCCGACACAGTCCCTCCCCCTGTTGTTGTTGTGAGCTCCGTTGGGGAGAAAATCAGCGATGTAAACGGTGACGTCATGACGCAGCAGCGGCAGCTGGGCGGTGTGAACAGAGCGGGAGATGAAAAGGGAATCCGGAGCTGAACCAGAAAAGCTCTAGCTAGGAGCTAGAAAGGGAAAAGCGCTGGTGTGAAAGCCGCATAGGAGGAGATTCAGGTGATAAGGGGGGGGGGTTACCTTGGTTGCTGATTGGCTAATGGTTACACAAGACAAAACATCGTTATGACATCATAAAGTGGCCAAAATCTGATCAGCTCATTTTCAGACAGGTTTTTATAGAAATGGATCAGGACAAAAAGAGAGAGAATCTTTGTTCCTGAAACTTTCAGAGTCTCTTTCCACAGAGGGGACACATGTTGATGTAGAAGAGACATGAAGAAGAGGGGACACATGTTGATGTAGAAGAGACATGAAGAAGAGGGGACACATGTTGATGTAGAAGAGACATGAAGAAGAGGGGACACATGTTGATGAAGAAGAGACATGAAGAAGAGGGGACACATGTTGATGAAGAAGAGACATGAAGAAGAGGGGACACATGTTGATGTAGAAGAGACATGAAGAAGAGGGGACACATGTTGATGTAGAAGAGACATGAAGAAGAGGGGACACATGTTGATGTAGAAGAGACATGAAGAAGAGGGGACACATGTTGATGAAGAAGAGACATGAAGAAGAGGGGACACATGTTGATGTAGAAGAGACATGAAGAAGAGGAGACACATGTTGATGTAGAAGAGACATGAAGAAGAGGGGACACATGTTGATGTAGAAGAGACATGAAGAAGAGGGGACACATGTTGATGTAGAAGAGACATGAAGAAGAGGGGACACATGTTGATGTAGAAGAGACATGAAGAAGAGGAGACACATGTTGATGAAGAAGAGACATGAAGAAGAGGGGACACATGTTGATGTAGAAGAGACATGAAGAAGAGGGGACACAAGTTGATGTAGAAGAGACATGAAGAAGAGGTGACACATGTTGATGTAGAAGAGAGGTGAAAATGCACAATAGGTTTTAACACGCTTTGCAGAAATCTCCACTTAATAATGTGGAGGAAATTCTTAAGAGAAACTGATAAATGATTCATGGACAAAGTTTGTCTTTTGTTATATTTAATAAAGTAATAAAGAAAGTCTATATACAATTGAACTCGATCTCAAATGCAGGATCAGAGCAACTTCATCCTCAGAGGATAAAATGGCTTTGGCCCCAGAACACAGTTTACAGTCTCATTATATGTAGAGAGAATATCCAACTGGTCCCACCCATCAATTATCTTAGTCATTATCTAAACATCCCCATCATTAAACCCCTGAGTGCTTAACCATTTGCAAATCCACCTTTTGCCCTTCCTGAAAGGTCAATCCTAAACATATGTCCCTGTTAAACACATATAGGACTAAAACTACAATTTAACCGAGTAAAAGGCAATCAGAGTATAAGACATAATCTATATATATATATATGATTTAAATGATTATATGAACATTTTACACAACAAATAACACCACTTTATGATTCTTGAAACTTACTTACAATCAACAAAAATACAGAGATAACGAATTACAGCACGGTCACAGCTTTTCACTTCAGAAATCAAGAGGTGGTTAATATGTGGAGATTATCCTGCTGAACTAAACGTCCAAGTATCATAAACGTTTGTTTGTATTTTCTGTAATCCAAAATCACATGGAGAAATCCCATTGGCTTTTTGTGAAAGGAGCCAGCCTTCAGGGTCAAACATAGAAACACAACATCCCTGCACAACATTTATTATATCTTAAACATTTTTTACCAATGTTAAGAAACATAGAATTCATGTTCTGGGATCATTTTGTTAGATTCAGATTGTTTTAGGATAGTGTTAAGTGTTTTCAGCTTGTTACTGCATAATATACAAACTCTCTTCAATTAAAAAACGTCCTCTATAATATATTATCTTATGATTGTACCTGTATTTCAAACGGTTTGTGAATAAAATAACAGTTTAATTAAATGATTTGATTACTTTTTGACAGTGGTGTACTAAGTAACTTAGTATCTCAGAGGTACTTGTACTTTACTTGAGTATTTCCATTGTCTGTTACTTTGTACTTCTTCTCCACTACAGTTCAGAGGTTAATGGTGTACTTCTACTCCACTACATGTATTTAATAGCTTTAGTTACTTCACAGATGTGGATGAATGATGTGAAATATGATCAAGTGTTAAATCAGACTTTAGTTCCACCTGGAGTAAATTCACAAGCTACCCTGCAGTATACAAAGTCATTCAAACTAGCTGCACCTTTACCAGCTTTGAGAACACTTTCATGATCAATCATTATAAAACAAATCATATATATTATTCTGAAATGGACCAATCTGCACAATGACTACTTTTCCTGTCGCTACTTTCACTATATTTTGATGATAATACTTTTCTACTTTTACTTGAGGAACATTTTGAATGCAGGACTTTTACTGTAACAGAGTATTCCTACACTCTGGTACTTCTACTCTTACTCAAGTACAAGATCTGAGTACTTCTACTATACTTTTGGTTTTTCTGCTTGTTGCATCACGGCTTTAAAACTAAAGCGAGCTCTAGTATTTGCAGGATTTAAGAGGCTACAACTCGTCATGCTGTTGAGTTCTCGCTGCCTCTTTGTTAATGTTCATAGCCGCCCTGATCGCCGACTTCATGGCCGTCTCGATCCAGGCGTGAGGGTAGGCGGTGTGTTCCCCGGCAAAGTGCACCCTGCCTTCACTTCTGAACAGCTCCTTGGAGTAGTGGTATAAATGCTGGTAGGGAGTGAAGAGAGCAAAGGCGCCCAGGCTGTGAGGATCGGTGCTCCACTTCTTCACCACCACCCCGGTGCAAAGAGACCACACTTTCTTCCCGTGGATCTGCTCCAAGTCTCTCAGCGCCAACTCCTTTTTCAAAGATTCAAAGATTCAAAGGTTTTATCATCATATGCACAAAGCTACAGTGTAGAAATGGCAATGAATGTAATTCAATGTAATAATGTAAAGTAAGACACAATCAAATACGGTTTATTGCGGTGATAACTATTTATATAAATAAGTATATTGCAAGATGACAAACAGGAATGTTTATCGGGGCACTTTACAGACCTTGAGGTCTTCGTCGCTCACTCCCAGGAAGAGGAGGGAGTCCTCGGCCCAGGTGTAGGAAGCCAGGAGAACCCCGATGGTCTTATTGTTCGGGAAACTGTGATTCGGGTAGTAGATGAACCGAGAAGGACCGTCGGTGATGCTCTTCCCGCCATGGATGCCGTCCTCCAACCAGAACTTCTCTTTAAAAGTGAGGATGATCTTAGTGGAGCTTCCGTAGTGGACGCCCCTCAGGACTTCCATCTTCTTAATGGACAGAGGTGGATCAAAGTCCATGAAAAGAGCTGCTTTGGCCGTGGTGGTCACCAGGACCACATCAGCATGAAGGTCAGTAAGAGGGAGTTCTCGATTGGTCTGATAGGACACGTTGACCCCTCGATCTGATTGGCAGATACGTTTCACCTTAGAGTTGAGGAAGATGGGGACGTGGAGGACTTTCTGGAAAGCTTCGGTAAGCAGATCAGATCCGCCGGTCACCTCATGGTACCTTTAAGAGAAAACAATGTTAGTCTCCTTGTATCAGCCACAAATGTAGGTAATATGTGATCGATGACCTCTGGATTTCTCTATATATGTGCCATTGGAGAGGCAATGAAACACATGTTGATTACATTTGAATCTCCACATATTCACACCACTTTATGATCTTTGAAGTAAAAAAGCTAACGTTAGGCTATAAAGGAACTACAGCACGATCACATGACTTCACGTCACCACCGCTAAGCTAAAGGCGGCTAATGTTGGGCTATAAAGGAACTACAGCACGGTCACATGACTTCACGTCACCACCGCTAAGCTAAAGGCGGCTAATGTTGGGTTCGAAAGGAACTACAGCACGGTCACATTACTTCACGTCACCACCGCTAAGCTAAAGGTGGCTAATATTGGGCGTGATGACGTTTAGTTGTCTCGTTTAGACACTTGTTAGCAACCGCCTTTTTTTTTTACCAGTGGGGTATTATCTGACGTATTTTATGTCGTAGAACAAAACGTCAACATTTGATAAGCTTGTCTTCGAGAGGAGGAACAGTAAGTGGTTAATTTCCTCATAAAAGACTTATTGCTGCACTGCTCTAGCCCGTAAATGAATTCAGGAAAAAGTGAAACATTGAAACAGTACTTGATGGTGTTGTTGACGTCGCTATGGAGGTAGATAGCCTCGGTCAGAGCCAGGTTCATCAGGCTATCTTGGTTCAGTAGGTCTCCGATCATCCTAATCGCCTCCTTACTCACGTGTTCTCCATTCAGATAATCCTGGGAAACAGATATTTTTTACATTATAGTCATTATCTTTAAATATTCTGTCTTTCATCAAAGCAAAAAGTGTTCTACCCTTGTACAACGTGCATTGGAAGTACATGCAATTAAAAAAAATAAGAATTCAAATTACCTCCAAAGAGTACTGGTCGTACTTCTGTAGGTAGGCTTTGCAGCCATTTGCCTTCACATAATCTTTCACCTAGATAGAATATTATTAACATCTCAGCTGTTATTTGTTATTTGTATGCATATTGTGGGTGAGGAACAATACCAAGCGATAATAAATAAAACACTTCATAGACCATCTGAGTAGCAATCATTCAATATTGAATATTCTCTTTTGGATTAATTAATTTGCCAGTATTATTATTATTATCATATTTTTTTATTTTTTTACTTTTATATATAATCTTATTACAATTATTACTATTATTATTATTATTATTATTCCATTTCATTGTGTTTATGTACAGTACCTTCTGCAGAGCTCCCTGCAGCAGCTGGTTTGCAGACTTCCCCTTCTCGCTATTCCACACTGTATAATTCAGGATGTTTGGATCAGCGATCACAGCGTACGTCCTCTTCTTCTTCAGCCCGTTCACCAGGATGAAAGTGTTCACGTCCTCCATGACGAATGAATTCAGCTTCACCCCCAGTTCTTTAGCAAACCAGAGGACGATTCTGCCAACAGACGCATTTACATTTTTCAGACTTAAAGGTCTCCTATCATGCAAAATGCACTTTTTAATGTATTTTCTACATAAATATGTGTCCCCAGTGTGTCCCCGGTGTGTCCCCGGTGTGTCCCTGGTGTGTCCCGGTGTGTCAGGAGACTCACAAAGTGTCAGAGAATAAAACTTTCTCTCTTTTCCTCCGTACCCGCATCTCTAAAAACGGGGGAACAACGGAGCTGATCCAGATTTGCTGCGTCATGACGACATTACTAAAATGTGGGCGGGCTTTACACCCACGGGCCAATCAGAAATGTTGCTGTCAGAAACAATGAGACGTGTTTTGGTTGTAATACGGTCTGTGTTTTCATTAACATTGCTAACACTCAGAGCCAGTGGTGTAGTGGGCGTTGGACGCGGGGGTACGCCGTACCCCCACTTATTTGAAGCATGATTTGTTTTAGTCTAATAAAAAATCATTGCCAGTGTTATCAGTTCCAATTGTATTTGTAATGACGAAAACATAATAGGCAGATTTCACAGTAATTATAATAAAAACGTAGCTCAAGCATTTATGCAACTTGATTTGAAGCGTGTGTGTGTGTAGGGTGACCAGGTGTCCCGCTTGTTAAGGGACTGCACACACAGCATTTTTATTATTTGTCCCGCGTCCCACAAATTGAGACTATGTCCCGCATTTGAGTGACAGTCGCGCAGAAATGCCGGCTCGGTTCGCTGACGGCCGGCACCGCCCTTTATTATTATATTTTTTAAACGGCATCATGTAAGTTCCGCTGACAGGTCCACAGTGTACCCCCCCGTTGACAGTTCACGAGCTCGTCCACAGTGTCTCCACTTTAGTAACAGCTGAAATAGAGGGGTTTGAGGCTAGAATGGGTGATCTGTTTGGTATTTTGAGCAAAACACTTCAGAGACATGTTTTTTATACATTTTGATATATCTGAAACCTATAATATATGCCTTAATAGGAGACCTTTAAGGTGAATCAGATTTATTTCTTCAAACTTGTCTTGAACTCACTGGTGAAAGCTGGGGATCCTCATGGCTCCCAGGTCAGCGAACCATCCCTCCGTCTTGTTCCTGTGGGTATGCACCCGGCCTCCAACACGCCCACTGGACTCTACTATGGTTACCTTGTACATATAAAAATAAGGTCATTAAATGTGTGATTTCCCCCAAAAAACAAACTTTAAATTAAGTCTTTATTCAGTCTTCAGTGTGTTGCATCCTTTAAGGAGCCTTGGGGTTTTCCTTGGGCATCTGACAATAAAAGCTTCAAATCATGAGAAATTGTTTTTTAACCTGTTGAACCCCAACCCTGTTTTTCAGGTCTCAGGCTCGAAAATGACATTCCCAGAACAAATGACCATATCTTCCCTTCCAAAAGGGGAAAATTAATAATCTTTTTTCTCAAAGTAATGATAAACCTGTGAGTTGAATGTAGAAAAGTCAGAATCAATATAGATGTTTTTTATTTTAAAGAAAATTCAGATTGAACATAGTAAAAAACTGTAAATTATAGTGTCCGTCCAAATATTATTTTTTACTTATAGTGAAAACTACACTTGGATGATGGTAGGGTAGACTAAAAGCTTTAGGAATCCAAAGTACAACATATAAAGAGTACCCTGTATCAAGATTGATGCAAAACAAGTGATATTTGACCTTTTTAGAGAGGTTTAGCAAAAAGAAACTCCACCTCTGGGGGGAAAAAAAGTGGGGGCTTCGCGCATGCAGTTTTGCATCAGAGCGAACCTATCTCACGCTCTGAAATCTGAAAACGGGAAAGCAGTTTTATTGCTTATGGATTATCAGAAATCATTTCAAAGTGACACAGACACATTGGATTAACCTATGGATTAACTTCAGCAGCGTCTTTATCGTTTTAATGCCATTGAAGACCACTTTGGAGAGACTACAGAGCCAAGATAAAAATGTTAGCATTTTTAGCTACCTAGCGTCACCTGTTTTGATGTCCGTTTTTGCTTATAACGTCGCAAATACGGATAATTCAGTGATAATGTTGGTGTCAATAGATTCTGTGTCACCTCACGATGTGAAACGATGTGTTGGATGTGGTGAAAAGATAAATAATAAGGAGTGATTTTCGGTGCAGTAAGGTGTTAGCATTTTTCGCTCGTTGCTAATTCAGAGGCTCAGTGTTAGCATTGTGGGTTTTCTTTTGAAAAAAAAAAAAAATGATCAGTTAGATGAGTTTCTTCCCGTTACATGGATATAAAACATTCATAGTTTTATTAAATGAACATGCCCTCAGACACTGTTTCCTGCAAGATGTTGCGGCAGTACCCCGGTACCGTGGTCTCTCGGGGTTAAAAGGTTAAGAAGCCCTCAGACGCTGTTTCCTGCAGATGATGCGTTTTTCCGCCCGGGGCGGGGGGATGGGGTTCAACAGGTTAAAGCAACTTTAATTTCTTAAAGTGGACCTATCATGCTATATTTAAATGATATATTGTAGGGCCATACCTATATAAAGTATATTTATACGTTTCTGTTTTCAAAATACCAAACAGATCATGCATTTTAGCCATGCCTCATTTCGCTCTATGTGCTGTTGGCTGTCTACGGGTCTGAATCTGCTGACCACGCCCCCCTGCAGGAGAGGGGAGCCGTGCTCTGATCAGCTGCTGGGCTGTCAGAAGAGGGGGAGAAAAAGAGATCTCCGTCCTCCGTGTTTTATTATATAGAGTCGTTATTCATTTGTTTTAAAGCTCAATAAATAACAAAGAAGACCTTTGATCGGCACTTTTCTAATTTTGTCCGGAAGATTTAAACTTTAACGGACATCTTGACCGGCGAAAGAAACTGAAACTGAAACTCTGCCGCACTGTCCCCTCGTTCCTTGGAAGAGGCGGAGAGGTGGGTGTTTGTCATCTGCTGGTGGACTAACCGGAGAGAATTACAGTGCTTGCCTCGACGGGGAGGGATTGCATTGAATTAAAGCAGTGGGAGCAAACGCTTGCCTCTGGGATGGAGAAAAAAAGCCACAGCGGAGAATAAACAGAAGGGTAACCATGGTAACTATGGGCGGGAAGTCTTCTTCGCTGCTTTTGTGGCAGACTACAGCGCCACTTACAGGCCTGGCATATGTACTACAGCGTCTCCAGCGCTTTCGAGCGGCAATGGCCGGCCGTGGCCCAACCCCACATTCCCCTGATAGGTGGAGAGTTGGCCCAATAGCCGTAGCGCCACCGTCCTGACGTCAGGACAGTGTTCAAATCTGGATCAGTTTTTATCAGATCCGTTGCAGCCCCTTTTTTAGAGATTTGGGTATGGAGGAAAATAGAGAGGGTTGTGTTTTCTGACACTTGGTGAGTTCCCTGGAACACCTTACACCTTACACATATTCATGTATAAAAGACGTACAAAATTGCATTTTGCATGTTAGGTCCCCTTTAAATCTTATTTTAGAGCCTTTAAATCATGATAAATAGTTTCAAAAAGCAACTTAATTTCTTAACTTCTATTTTAGAATCTTTAAGTCGTGATGAACAGTTTATAAGGTAGGCCTATATTCAATTACTCAAATTTTAGAGCCTATTGAGAAATAGTTTTATAAAGCTTTTTTTCTTAACTCCTATTTTAGAGTCTCCTTTCTCTTGCGTTTCGGGTCAAAAGTGACCGAATTACTTTTGTTTTAATCATAAATATTGTGTTTTTCATCCAATTGCCTCAATACCTTATGTTATCCTCCACACTAGGCCTCTGGACATATACACTTGATGATCACCACTTGCATTGGATTTTGAGAAATGTCTCAACAGTGAAACACCCATGATGTTTTCGGTCAGAATTGACCGCCATAGAAAATGAATGGGTATGAGTGTATTATGTTCATCCTGCAGATGGAAAACATCTACACACACACACACACACACACACACACACACACACACACACACACACACACACACACACACACACACACACACACACACACACACACACACACCACACACACACACACACACTAACACACGTGTTCTGTTAAGGTATATTTCTCTTTCAATAAATGTTCATTGAGGAAAACAGCATCAGTGTCTTATTTTATATTCATCACAGTGTATGCTGAACTTGATGGGCCCACCGGTGGGTCCGGACCATGACATGAAACACTGGCTTGCTTATATCAAATCAATACATCCCATACATCATTGGAACGGGAAGAATCTCAGCTACAACACTAACTAAAGCATTTCCATCTCCAGTAAAAACAGCCTACATGGCAAGCATTTTTATAATATACAGTAATGTAAAATAAGCACTATCTTTGAACTTACTGCCAAAAATACTATGAAATTCACCCCTGGTGTCATTCTGTCTGTCACCCCTTGATTCTACTTGCTTTGACTGTTCAAATGAGATATCAACCATCAAAATTGGATAAGGGGTTCCAGAGATATCACTATGCAAAACACACCGGTCAATTTTGACCGAAAATAGTATGGGAAGGGGGGTATGACCTAATGCAAGAGAAGGGTTAAGTCATGATAAATAGTTTAAAAGGTATAGTTGGAGCTTGCACCTGGTTTTATAAAGCAATTTTCACGACCAAAATTTCATTTTAGAGCCTTTAAATCATTAGAAATAGTTTTATAAAGCATTTTTTTTCCCTTAATTCCTATTTTAGAGTCCTTAGATCATGATAAATAGTGTATAAAGTATATTTAGAGCGTGCACCTGGTGCCCGGCGTCCTGCAGCAGCTTTGCGGCCGTCAGTCCTGCAGCCCCAGCCCCGACGATGACCACGTGATGGGAGGAGTTGATGTGAGGAAGGCCTTTCTTCACCGTGTTCAGGAGAACCTCGTAGTCTTTGTCCTGAAGACAGTCCTCCAGATTATCCCCCAGATGTTCCTCCAGATGTTCCTCCAGATGTTCATCCACACTCCCAGCTGCTGATGATGTGTTTCTGAGGCACAGAGTGAGCAGCAGCAGCCGGACGACACCTGGAAACAGATATGATTATTAGGGTCTGAGACCATAGGTCGGCGAAGACCCTATTGAAATCGGTCGCTGCGCGACCGATAAACCTGCAAAAAACACCCAAAAACAGGGAAAACGACCGGCAAAAGCACAGAAAAGGTTCGGAAATAGTAACGGCAGATAGTCCGCGCGAGCCCAGTCACGTGGGCGAAGCCCACGTGATTGCAACTCGCATAATTAATATCGTTACGATCAATTTAGTCGCTCGCAAAGCGAGCGATAACCATGCAAAACCCACTAAAAACAGGGAAAAAGACGGGTAAAAGCCCATTAAAAGTGGCCTAAATCATGACAGTAGGTAGCCCAACGGCCTACAGTGACGTGGGCGTAGCCCACGTCACTGTAAACGAGCACATTATTGATATTGGTCCGATTATTTATTATTAGGGTCTGAGACCTAGGTCGGCGAAGACCCTATTGAAATCGGTCGCGCAGCGACCGATAAACCTTTGACCCCCGCAACATATGTGAAAACTCACCAAATTTTGCACGCGCGTCAGAAGTGGTGCAACTTCAGATGTGTAATTGGTTCCGGAACTTTGCGTCAAAAATTGCGTAGGCCACGCCCACTTCCGTTTTTAACCTAAACTCCCCCCACTTTAACTTTCACGTAAACGAACGAAACTCGCTACGCATATCTAGGGTGCGGAGACAAACCAAAAAGCCTCTTGGAGGGGTGTAAAATAACGTACAGGAAGCCGGCCATTTTGAATTTGGAGTCGGAAAAACGCGATTTATCGCGTTTTTCGTCCTCCGCACGAAATCTATCTTCTCCCAGGGACTTTATCCGTACGAATTCATCGGGTAGCATCTCGAGACATGGGCAATTAAAAGTTATCACGGAAGTTTTTTTCTTTCGCACGGCACAGCCGTTATTTGGCGCCAAAGTTCGCGTTCGCTCGATGCTAGGCCCATCAAACGCCATGGAATACGATGATGTCATAACTGAAACTGACATGCTCACAACGCCACCAAACTTCACATGATGGTTAACACTGCGGCCCTGAACAGCTCTACGTCAAAGTTTATGTTACTTAATATGGCGTTACCATGGCAACGCATCCCTCGCCGTAAAACACGATGTTGTCTTAATTCAATGGAAAAGGTTCAAAACGGCACCAGACTTCAGATGACAGTTAATGGTCCGGCCCTCAACAGCTCTATGTGAAATCTGAGATCTCACCGTATGCCGTTTCCATGGCAACGCATCCCTAGCCGTAAAACACAATGTTGTCTTAAGTCAATGGAAAATGTTCCAAACTGCACCAGACTTCAGATGACAGTTAATGGTCCGGCCTTCAACAGCTCTACGCCAATTCTGGGATGTCATCATATGCCGTTTCCATGGCAACGAATCACTCGCCGTAAAACACGATGTTGTCTTAAGTCAATGGAAAATGTTCCAAACTGCACCAGACTTCAGATGACAGTTAATGGTCCGGCCCTCAACAGCTCTACGCCAATTCTGGGATGTCATCATATGCCGTTTCCATGGCAACGAATCACTCGCCGTAAAACACGATGTTGTCTTAAATCAATGGAAAAGCTTCCAAACTGCACCAGACTTCAGATGACAGTTAATGGTCCGGCCCTCAACAGCTCTACGTGAAATCTGAGATCTGACCGTATGCCGTTTCCATGGCAACGAATCCCTCACCAAAAAACACGAAGTTGTCTTAAGTCAATGGAAAAGCTTCCAAACTGCACCAGACTTCAGATGACAGTTAATGGTCCGGCCCTCAACAGCTCTAAGTGAAATCTGAGATCTCATCATATGCCGTTGCCATGGCAACGCATTCCTCGCCATAAAACACAATGTTGTCTTAAGTCAATGGGAAATGGTCCAAACTGCACCAGACATCAGATGACAGTTAATGGTCCGGCGCTGAACACATCTAAGCGTATTATGGGGTGTCATCAAATGCCGTTGCCATGGCGATAGATCACTCGCCATCAAACACAATGTTTATGATACTGCTGTAACTCCTAAATACATTGTCCGATCGGCCTGAAACTTCCCACGTTTGCCAACGGCCGAGTCCGGAAAACTCCTGCATGATACCTCGACGTGCGGACAACAGCCTGCGGAGCGTCGAAGACCCGCTCAACGCTGCTTGCAGCTTTAATTAGGGTCTGAGACCTAGGTCGGCGAAGACCCTATTGAAATCGGTCGCGCAGCGACCGATAAACCTTTGACCCCCGCAACATATGTGAAAACTCACCAAATTTTGCACGCGCGTCAGAAGTGGTGCAACTTCAGATGTGTAATTGGTTCCGGAACTTTGCGTCAAAAATTGCGTAGGCCACGCCCACTTCCGTTTTTAACCTAAACTCCCCCCACTTTAACTTTCACGTAAACGAACGAAACTCGCTACGCATATCTAGGGTGCGGAGACAAACCAAAAAGCCTCTTGGAGGGGTGTAAAATAACGTACAGGAAGCCGGCCATTTTGAATTTGGAGTCGGAAAAAACGCGATTTATCGCGTTTTTCGTCCTCCGCACGAAATCTATCTTCTCCCAGGGACTTTATCCGTACGAATTCATCGGGTAGCATCTCGAGACATGGGCAATTAAAAGTTATCACGGAAGTTTTTTTCTTTCGCACGGCACAGCCGTTATTTGGCGCCAAAGTTCGCGTTCGCTCGATGCTAGGCCCATCAAACGCCATGGAATACGATGATGTCATAACTGAAACTGACATGCTCACAACGCCACCAAACTTCACATGATGGTTAACACTGCGGCCCTGAACAGCTCTACGTCAAAGTTTATGTTACTTAATATGGCGTTACCATGGCAACGCATCCCTCGCCGTAAAACACGATGTTGTCTTAATTCAATGGAAAAGGTTCAAAACGGCACCAGACTTCAGATGACAGTTAATGGTCCGGCCCTCAACAGCTCTATGTGAAATCTGAGATCTCACCGTATGCCGTTTCCATGGCAACGCATCCCTAGCCGTAAAACACAATGTTGTCTTAAGTCAATGGAAAATGTTCCAAACTGCACCAGACTTCAGATGACAGTTAATGGTCCGGCCTTCAACAGCTCTACGCCAATTCTGGGATGTCATCATATGCCGTTTCCATGGCAACGAATCACTCGCCGTAAAACACGATGTTGTCTTAAGTCAATGGAAAATGTTCCAAACTGCACCAGACTTCAGATGACAGTTAATGGTCCGGCCCTCAACAGCTCTACGCCAATTCTGGGATGTCATCATATGCCGTTTCCATGGCAACGAATCACTCGCCGTAAAACACGATGTTGTCTTAAATCAATGGAAAAGCTTCCAAACTGCACCAGACTTCAGATGACAGTTAATGGTCCGGCCCTCAACAGCTCTACGTGAAATCTGAGATCTGACCGTATGCCGTTTCCATGGCAACGAATCCCTCACCAAAAAACACGAAGTTGTCTTAAGTCAATGGAAAAGCTTCCAAACTGCACCAGACTTCAGATGACAGTTAATGGTCCGGCCCTCAACAGCTCTAAGTGAAATCTGAGATCTCATCATATGCCGTTGCCATGGCAACGCATTCCTCGCCATAAAACACAATGTTGTCTTAAGTCAATGGGAAATGGTCCAAACTGCACCAGACATCAGATGACAGTTAATGGTCCGGCGCTGAACACATCTAAGCGTATTATGGGGTGTCATCAAATGCCGTTGCCATGGCGATAGATCACTCGCCATCAAACACAATGTTTATGATACTGCTGTAACTCCTAAATACATTGTCCGATCGGCCTGAAACTTCCCACGTTTGCCAACGGCCGAGTCCGGAAAACTCCTGCATGATACCTCGACGTGCGGACAACAGCCTGCGGAGCGTCGAAGACCCGCTCAACGCTGCTTGCAGCTTTAATTAGGGTCTGAGACCTAGGTCGGCGAAGACCCTATTGAAATTGGTCGCGCAGCGACCGATAAACCTTTGACCCCCGCAACATATGTGAAAACTCACCAAATTGTGCACGCGCATCAGAAGTGGTGCAACTTGCGATATGTAATTGGTTCCGGAACTTTGCGTAAAAAATTGCGTAGGCCACGCCCACTTCCGTTTTTAACGTAAACTCCCCGCACTTTAACTTTCACGTAAACGAACGAAACTCGCTACCCATATCTAGGGTTTGGAGACGAACAAAAAAGCCTCTTGGAGGGGTATAAAATAACGTACAGGAAGTCGGCCATTTTGAATTTGGCATCGGAAAAACGCGATTTATCGCGTTTTTCGTCCTCCGCACAAAATCTATCTTTTCCCAGGGACTTTATCCGTACGACTCGAAATTCGTCGGGTAGCGTCTCGAGACATGGGCAATTCAAAGCTATCACGGAAGTTTTTTTCTTTCGCACGGCGTAGCCGTGATTTGGCGCCAAAGTTCGCGTTCGCTTGATGCTAGGCGATCCCTCGCAATGGAACACGATGATGTCATAACACCAACTGACATACTCAGAATGCCACCAAACTTCACATGATGGTTAACACTGCGGCCCTGAACAGCTCTACGTCAAATTTGATGTTACTTAATATGGCGTTACCATGGCAACGCATCCCTCGCCATAAAACACGGTGTCGCTGTAACTCCAATGGACACGGTCCCATCGTCCCCCAATCTTCACTTTTATATCACCGGTCCATGCCTCAACAGCTCTACGTGAAATCTGAGATCTCACCGTATGCTGTTTCCATGGCAACGAATCACTCGCCATAAAACACGATGTTGTCTTAATTCAATGGAAAATCGTCCACACTTCACCAGACTTCAGATGATGGCTAATGGTCTGGCCCTCAACAGCTCTACGCCAATTATGGGATGTCATCATATGCCGTTGCCATGGCGACAGATCCCTCGCCATGAAACACAGTGTTGTCATAACTCGATGGAAAATGGTCCAAACTGCACCAGACTTCAGATGACAGTTAATGGTCCGGCCCTCAACACCTCAATATGACAATAGTGAGTTTCCTCAAAAGCTGTTGCCATGGCAACGCATCCCTCGCCGTTAAGCACGATATTGCTTTAAGTCCTGTGTAAATGGTAAAAAAGTGTTGAAATTTCACATGTGTGCTAACGGTCAAGCCCTCGACACATATATGTGTCAGTTTTGAGATTTCGTCAAATGTCGTTGCTATGGTAACAAAATGGTCACCGTGAAACACGGTTTTCTCATAACTCCAGTTAACATGCTCCAAACGGCCCAAAACTTCACAGGTTTGATAACGATGCAGCCCTCAACACATCTAGGCGTATTATGGGGTGTCATCAAATTCCGTTGCCATGGCGACAGATCACTCGCCATCAAACACAATGTTTATGATACTGCTGTAACTCCTAAATACATTGTCCGATCGGCCTGAAACTTCCCACGTTTGCCAACGGCCGAGTCCTCGAGACACCTACAAACACAACTCGACGTGCGGACAACAGCCTGCGGAGCGTCGAAGACCCGCTCAACGCTGCTTGCAGCTTTAATTAGGGTCTGAGACCATAGGTCGGCGAAGACCCTATTGAAATCGGTCGCGCAGCGACCGATAAACCTGCTAAAAACACATAAAAACAGGGAAAACGACCGGCAAAAGCACAGAAAAGGTTCGGAAATAGTGACGGCAGATAGTCCGTGCGAGCCCAGTCACATGGGCGAAGCCCACGTGATTGCAACTCGCATAATTAATATCGTTACGATCAATTTAGTCGCTCGCGAAGCGAGCGATAACCATGCAAAACCCACTAAAAACAGGGAAAAAGACGGGTAAAAGCCCATTAAAAGTGGCCTAAATCATGACAGTAGGTAGCCCAACGGCCTACAGTGACGAGTAAACGAGCACATTATTGATATTGGTCCGATTATTTTTTTTTATTATTATTCTTATTTGAACTTTTCGCGCGCACTTTTGACCCCCGCCACATATGTGAAAACTCACCAAATGTTGCACGCGCGTCAGAACTGCTGCAACTTGAGATGTGTAATTGGTTCCGGAACTTTACGTTAAAAATTGCGTAGGCCACGCCCACTTCCGCTTATATCGTACAGCCGGCAACTTTAACTTTCACGTAAACAAACGAAACTCGCTACGCATATCTAGGGTGCGGAGACGAACAAAAAAGCCTCTTGGAGGGGTAAAAAATAACGTTCAGGAAGTCGGCCATTTTGAATTTGGCGTCGGAAAAACGCGATTTATCGCGTTTTTCGTCCTCCGCGCAAAATCTGTCTTCTCCCAGGGACTTTATCCGTACGACTCGAAATTCGTCGGGTAGCATCTCGAGACATGGGCAATTAAAAGTTATCACGGAAGTTTTTTTCTTTCGCACGGCACAGCCGTTATTTGGCGCCAAAGTTCGCGTTCGCTCGATGCTAGGCCCATCAAACGCCATGGAACACGATGATGTCATAACACCAACTGACATGCTCACAACGCCACCAAACTTCACAATGTTGTCTTAAGTCAATGGAAAATGGTCCAATCTACACCAGACTTCAGATGACAGTTAATGGTCCGGCCATCAACACATTAATATGACAAAAGTGAGTTTTCCTCAAAAGCTGTTGCCATGGCAACGAATCCCTCGCCATAAAACACGGTGTCGCTGTAAATCCAATGGACACGGTCCCATCGTCCCCCAATCTTCACTTTTATATCACTGGTCCATGACTCAACAGCTCTACGCAAAATCTGAGATCTCACCGTATGCCGTTTCCATGGCAACGAATCACTCGCCATAAAACACGATGTTGTCTTACGTCAATGGAAAATTGTCCAATCTGCACCAGACTTCAGATGACAGTTAATGGTCCGGCCCTCAACAGCTCTAGGTGAAATCTGAGATCTCATCGTATGCCGTTTCCATGGCAACGAATCACTCGCCATAAAACACGATGTTGTCTTACGTCAATGGAAAATTGTCCAATCTGCACCAGACTTCAGATGACAGTTAATGGTCCGGCCCTCAACAGCACTATGCCAATTATGGGATGTCATCATATGCCGTTTCCATGGCAACGCATCCCACGCCGTAAAACACGATGTTGTCTTACGTCAATGGAAAATGTTCCAAACTGCACCAGACTTCAGATGATGGCTACTGGTCCGGCCCTCAACAGCTCTACGTGAAATCTGAGATCTCACCGTATGCCGTTTCCATGGCAACGCATCCCACGCCATAAAACACGATGTTGTCTTAAGTCATTGGAAAATGGTCCAAACTGCACCAGACTTCAGACGACGACTACTAGTCCGCCCCTCAACAGCTCTACGCCAATTCTGGGATGTCATCATATGCCGTTGCCATGGCAGTAGATCACTCGCCATCAAACACAATGTTTACTGTATGATAACTCCCATTTACATTGTCCGATCGGCCTGAAACTTCCCATGTTTGCCAACGGCCGAGTCCGGAAAACTCCTGCATGATACCTCGACGTGCGGACAACAGCCTGCGGAGCGTCGAAGACCCGCTCAACGCTGCTTGCAGCTTTAATTATTATTATTATTATTATTATTATTATTATTGTTATTATTATTATTATTATTATTATTATCTATGTTTATCTATTATTTTTATAATAGTCAATGAAGAGAGGGCAATTTAATCTGAGCCTCTGTGCTTCCCTTAGTGCTTAAATAATCGATACAGCATAGTATCGCGATACCTTGCGTGGTGATATTGTATCGATACACGGATCAACTTTTTTTTTTAATTGTAATTTTCTTTAAAAAAAAAATGTGTTTCTATAAACTGTGGCATATCCCTCCAAAAGACGGTCGTATATAAAACAGGAAGTTACGTTAAGACATGTATACAATTGCAATGAAAGTAACACAAACAATGCCATCTCCTTTTCAGGTTCAAAGAACGCACATTGTGTTATTTACATAAACTATTCATATTGAAAATACATGTTTTAACCAGGAAGGGAAGACAGACATGGATATGAACCATGTGATTTGCAATATCGCAATATATCGTATCTCAATACTTAGCATATCGTAGAATCGCAATACTATCGTATCGTGGCTTAAGTATTGCGATAGTATCGTATCGTGGGGAGCCTGGTGATTCCCACCCCTTTACAAAAATAAATAAGAATTTAGTGCAAAAGAAACATTTAAAAAATGATTTATTAAACAAAGAACAGGTGTATAAAATATGGCAAAATAATAAAAGTGCAAAAGAAAATTAAAGAAAGTCGATTGTATATACTTATAATCATTATTCTGATGATTTCCTTTTTTAATGGGGATAAAATATGGCAAAAGCCTGAATACATGTTATTTATTTTAACAGTCAATAAAAAGTCAAGTCTACATTTTTAATGACTTGACTTTAAACCTACAGTAGTGGGTTTATATTCTCACTTTTCTTAGCACAGCATTTGACCTTTAAAATACTTCCTGTTAAATCCTTATTTTTCATCATGTGGTGATGAATGATAACTGAAACCATGAACTCAGAAAGCAGAAGTGGCCGCAGCAAAATCTGCATCAAAAACTCTCAACAGACATCATTTTAGGGAATTTCCAAAGATGTCTGTCTCTGATATTTTTGTCTTTTAAAAATAGAGTAAAAACACAATATTGCTGCAAAAGAATACTCACAGGATTTCCACTTCACTGTCTGAGGATCCATCTCAGTTCAGCTCTCTGAAGAAGGGAAACAGAAACTAAAGGAGGCAGACATCATTAACTCCTGACAAACATGTACAGTATTTCATCTTGTAAAGTGACGAGACAAACACCATTTACAGTTATTAAGAAACACACCAAGGATCTTTCAGCCGCAGTACCTGTGAGTGTGTGTGTGTGTGTGTGTATGTGTGTGTGTGTGTGTGTGTGTGTGTGTGTGTGTGTGTGTGTGTGTGTGTGTGTGTGTGTGTGTGTGTGTGTGTGTGTGTGTGTGTGTGCGTGTGTGTGTGTGTGTGTGTATGTGTATGCTCTGCTGTCTCTGATCATCCAATCTATTTATCACCAGATTGTAAAAGCAATATCTTTTTTTTATTAAATGAAATTAAAATGTTATAAAATTGAACACATTTATATGATATATATATTTTTAAAAGCATATATTGGCTTATTATGTTTTACTTTGTTTATCCTGTTTTATACATCCATATCCCTCCTCACATATATTTAGTTGTTTAAATAAAGCTTTTAATATTTTATTTCTATTATATTTATATATTTACCTTTATCTCCCCAGAGTCTCCCTCTGACCTCAGAGGGCAGGACAGTAGTTATATTCATACCCCTTTCATCACATTACAATGCATAGAAAGTGACAGTCATGACTATAAGGACGCCCCTTTGAAGTTGTGTTTGGGTAATAATTGAAAGAGCTTAAGACCCCTTGATCCTACCCTTTTTTATTGTTTAATTTAACTGTAAAACTATATATTTGTATTGAATAGTTTCTGAGCTTTGATGTTCTGTGAGGTGCTCTGCAGCTGTCTTGGAAAAAGTGTTAAATGTTTTTGACATCACATCCTTCTCCCCCCTCCCCCTCGTCACCCTCACATCATTCTCCCCCTCCCCCTCATCCCTTTTTCCCCCTTCCTCTTGCCCCCTTCCTGGGTTAAAGAGATGTGTTTTCAAAATCTAAACAAGACCAAAAATAAAAGGTATTAAGGGAACTTTAGATCCAAAGAGCATGTAACAGTCTTAACATTTGGAGACACCCCATCTCTGGGAAAAATAATCCCCCCCCCCCCCCCACACACACACACACACACACTACGCAGTTTTTGATAACTTTACAGATTTTGCTTTTTTTCTCTCACCAAGGTAATGTGAGATACACTTTTATGTATGTAAAACCTTAAAAACTAGAAAATAAAATACTTTGTCTGAATAGATTTTCTTTAAAGGCACTTTGTGATTTTAACGCTATTTCAGTGGAACAATCCAGTTTTGTTAACATCAATGCTGTTTTCTTGTGTTACTAAGATACTTTTAGATACACTTTTATGTAGGAAAACTTTACAACTGTTAGAATGTCAATTACTTTGTAACAAATTGATTTAGACTGTGACTCTTAAAGGCAAGTTTGTGATGTTAACACTTTTAGTGGAACTTGGCCGTTTCTTTTATATATGTTTACTGATTTTTGCTTTTTTTCTGCTACGAAGATACTTTTGGATACAGTTTTATGTATGAAAACTGTACAACTGGTAGAAAGTACTTTTATTGAACAGATTTGCTCTAAAAGGGAAGTTTTGTGATTTTAGCACTGTTTCGGTGAAACAATTCAGTTTTATAGAAATAACTTTAATGATTTTTTTCCTACAAAGATACTTATAGTTACACTTTAATGGATGCAAAACTTTACAACTTGGTAAAATATGAATGAATTTGTAATGAATTGAGTTTCTTAAAGAATCCAACTCTAAATGGAAAGTTTGTGATTTTAACACTGTTTCGATGAAACAATGCACACAAACATAATTTGAAAATATATGTTTTTAGATGCTTTACTTTACTTTACTTTTTTCAACATGCTGTTTTTTCATATTTTTAAACATACTGTGATATGTATTTTAGTTTTTCTCTGGGACTTTTTCCATCCAGCAGAAAAACAGAGGTCTGTGATGTATTTTGTGAAACAGAAGAACAGCTAAATAAATGCAACGGCCTCCCAAGAAGAGCTCGCCTCTCTCCAGTCATTTAAGCTAAAGTGGGTTATTGAACCTGAAGCTTGTTGCTTCTGCCCTTCTCGACTACGGTCTGGGAGCCGACAGGAAAGTTCAACACACAGATGGCCAGTCCGCCCCTTTGTAGCATGTTATTTCAATGAGAGATGAGCAGATCGCCACTGGGCTTTCAACTAAAGACACAGCCACGCAAAAACTGCGGCATTTGTACAGCTCCTTATGGGTACTGCAATTTGTGAAGTGCTTTCCTCTGTGGTGAAACGATCAGCCCTGCACCACGGAGGAAAGCGGCAGAAAGTCACCTGGAGTTAAACAGAGCGGGGCTGAGCTGCGTGCATGGCTTCCTTCTGCAGGTAACGGGGAGACGCGCTCTGGCGGCGGTCTCGTTCAGGATCCGAAAATACAATTTAAATATTTTGCACACTTATTCCACTTATTCCTAGTGTGCCACTGGTTACGGTGCCGCGTGCCAATGCTGGCACGCGTGACAGGGGTTGCCGACCCCTGGGATAGAGTAATAACTTCATAATTAACTATGTCTGAAAGCAGAAGTCTAGGGCAAATAATTGCAAGTCCCTTCAGTGAGAATGCCACAAAATGATTTTAAAAGAAAAGCAAAATGATGGAAAAAAAGTCAAAAGTAAAAAAAAAAGTAACATTTAAAAAGAAAAAGTCAAATTCTGAGAAAAAAGTCAAATTTGAGATGCATTGTGCTACATGTACTGTATGGGCAACGTGCTTCTGTAAATCGACATTTAACCATATAATAAACATATTATATTCTTTGCAAGCCTAAAAATACCTTTAAAAAAACAAAGAAATATTGTAAGCGTCTTACCTTGACTTTAGTGGACTCGCTCTGCAGAATGGCTCCCTGTGATGTGGCAAGCATTTATAACAGGGTGAAACAGTGGGAGTGTTTATCAGAAATATCATCTTATCTGATTTAATATGTTAGCAGTAAGACACGTCTGTGTGTCACACCCTGATTGGTTCATTTCAACACAAAGGAGGTCCAACTGCTCTGGTCACATTTCACAGAGAAAAAGCCAGCAGGAATTTCTGGTTATGAATTAAGGTTAAAAAGGCAGAAGAATGATTTACAATAAAAATAAATAAATACAAAAGTAAATACATTTTTTTGTAAACATTAGAAATAACATTACAAATGGGCAAAACAAATACAAATTGAATAAAGGACAAACGATGACAAACGATCCGTCCTGATCATTAATCTAAATTATATATTTTTCATTTAAAGTTTGCTTTTACAATGGTAGTGTTGTTGTTTGTTAACCTGTTAAGCCCTGAGCCTGTTTTTCAGGTCTCAGGCTCGAAAATGACATTCCCAGAACAAATGACCATATCTTCCCTTCTAAAAGGGTTAAATTAATAATCTTTGTTCTCAAAGTAATGATAAACCTGTGAGTTGGATGTAGAAAAGTCAGAATCAATATAGATGTTTTTTATTTTAAAGAAAATTCAGATTTTACATAGTAAAAAACTGTAAATTATAGTGTCCGTCCACAAATTATTTTTTACTTATAGTGAAAACTACCCTTGGATGATGGTAAGGTAGACTAAAAGCTTTAGGAATCCAAAGTACAACATAAAATAAGTACCCTGTATCAAGATTGATGCAAAACAAGTGACATTTGACCTTTTTAGAGAGATTTATCCAAAAACACTCCACCTCTGAGGTGATTTGGATTTGTGTTTTTTTAAATATTTTTCTAGTTATTGTGCTTTTTATCATGTTTTTAATTATTGTTTTATTATTGTACTCCGATTGTGTTATTTAATATTTATTGCCTGTACAGCACTTTGGTCAACTGAAGGTTGTTTTAAATGTGCTATATAAATAAATAAAAATTGAGATTGAGATTGAAATGGGGGTTTTACCATATCTCTGGCCCCCCTTTGTCGATTTTGATGGTTGACACCTCTTTCTGACCGTTAGAGCCAATAGAATCGAAAGGGGATTCCCCCCCACACACACGTTGTAAAACAAAAAGGTGGGGGCTTTGCGCATGTAGTTTTGCATGAGAGTGAAGCTATCTCTCGCTCTGACATCTGGAAACGGAAAAGCAGTCTTATTGCTTATGGATTATCAGAAATCATTTCAAAGGGACACAGACACATTGGATTAACCTATGGATTAACTTCAGCAGCGTTTTTATCGTTTCAATGCCATTGAAGACCACTTTGGAGAGACTACAGAGACAAGGTAACCATGTTAGCATTTTTAGCTACCTAGCGCCACATGTTTTGATGTCTGTTTTCGTTTATAACGTCACGATTTCGTATAATTGAGTGACAATGAGGCTACCCTTCGATTCTGTGTCACCTCACGATGTGAAACGATGTCATGGATGTAGAGAAAAGATAAATAATAAGGTTTTGTGAGTGATTTTCGGTGCAGTAATCTGTTAGCATTTTTCGCTCGTTGCTAATTCAGAGTCTCAGTGTTAACATTGTGGGTTTTCTTTTGAAAAAAAAATTAAAATGATCAGTTAGATGAGTTTCTTCCCGTTACATGGATATAAAACATTCATAGTTTATTAAATGAACATGCCCTCAGACACTGTTTCCTGCAAGATGTTGCGGCAGTGCCCCGGTACCGGGGTCTCTCGGGCTTAACAGGTTAAGACTGTCAGGCAGAACATACTGATGCCTCTTTTGTTTACTGAAATGATCCTTGGTGACCCGATAGAGGACACCATTCTGAACCTTCAGTCTCTCCCATTGTTTGATGAGAATCATAACTTTGGCATCTAGTCCTGATCGTTCACGTCTGGAAGGACGGCGGTTGCGAAGCACAAATGGTAGGAGTTTTGAAATAATGGGATCAAGTTCCTGACTGCGCTTGAGTTCCTCCAACGAGAACACAGGAAGGGAGTCTTGGCCCGGCAGCAACAGATCCTGGAGAGTCTGAGTCAACTCCACAGCTCTCGTCTCGGCAGCAATCTCCCACTGAGCATGAACATCCAAAGGAGCCTTGACAACCACAGAATCACTGTGACACATGAGGGGGTTAGATTGAGAATTAATGCTGCCACCAGGTAACTTCTTCATCTGTTGACACTCGACTTTGAGTCGGAAAGTGTCTTGAATGCCGTCGTGACTAACACCCTCGGCTTCAGCAAGAAGGTGACTGTACTGCTCCGTGATGAGCCTGTGGCTTACTGATCTTGCGAAGGGATCTCTGCTGAGAGCATCAGCTACTATGTTCTTGGTGCCAGGTATATGTCTCAGGTCGAATGTGTAAGGAGCGAGCCTAGACACCCAGCGCTGTTCACACGCATCAAGCTTCGGTTTCGTCAGGATGTAGGTAAGAGGGTTATTATCAGTCCATACTGTAAACTCATGGCCTTTTAACCAATGGCTAAATGTTTCACACACACTCCATTTCAGGGCCAGAAACTCAAGCCTATGGGCGGGATATCTCTTCTGAGAGCCACTGAGAGTCTTACTTGCAAATGCAATGGGACGTGCTTTCTCTTCACCAGCTGGTTTCTGTGATAGCACGGCCCCTAGCCCGTCCAGAGAGGCATCAATAGATTGAATCAGAGGACGAGAGAAATCTGGTTGTGAGAGGACGACGTAGCTCAAGAGACTGTCTTTCAGATTACAAAGAGCTGCATCACATTCCTCTGTCCAATCAGAGGGTCTCAGTTTCCTGAAGGAGCCGGTATTGGAGTTTAGTTTGACTCTCCCTCGTCTCTTTTGGCCTGCAGTAAGAGCAAACAGTGGCTTGGCCATAGCAGAACAGTTAGAGATCAAATGTGCAGGACTGTTGCACAAACCTTGGGGCATCCTGTTGAATTCAAACAGTCCCATTGGAGTAGTGAATGCAGTGTATTTCTTGTCCTCCTCTGTCATTGGGATGTTATAGAAGCCAGAGGTCAGATCCATTGTGCTGAAGTAGGTGTTCCCACCCAGGGCAGCCAAGCAGTCTGACTGCTATGGTAATGGGTGCGCATCCTTGAGCGTCCTCGCATTCAGCCACCTGAAGTCTGTGCAGAGTCTCAAACTGCCATCTTTTTTCCACACAAGTACGAGGGGAGAGGCATAATCACTTACTGACTTCCTGATGATCTCCTGTTCTTCCATTTCTGAAAGGACCTGTCGCAGTTTCTGGTAATGGGCTGGTGGCACCCGCCGGTAAGGGAGACGGAATAGTCTCTCATCAGTGAGCCTAATGTGGTGCATGAAGCCCTCTGCCTCACCGCAATCCAGAGCATGTTTGGAGAAAATGTCATTGTACTTTTCAAGCAGCGCGACCAACCTCTCTTTTCCTCCTTGGCCAGCCTGGCACTGATCAATATCAACCTCAGTGAGTCCAACCTGTTGTAGTCGCTGCTTGAAACCTGTAGGTTTAGCCTTGCCATGACTTTCCTCCTCCTTAACGTTATTGAGTTGGCTGGTACCTTGAAAAACCTCAAACTCTTCAACAGCTTTTCTTTTCAGGGTGATAGGCTTGTCTGACATGTTCGTGACTTTCATTGGGTTTCATCTGTCACCCCACAATGGTGTAATGACACGACAAATCATGATGTTACGAGGCATGCACTTGGATGAGGTGGGCTCAACTATTACTGTGCTGCCTGGAGACATGGGAGCGTTATTTGGCAACTTACCCCAAACAAGATGTTCTTTCTTAGCCAATAGAGTAACCGCCTGCTGGAGTTTAACGGTCCCGATTCTGTCTGGAAGCTCCTCGCCTCTCCACCTGGATGAGTTTGCCATGAGATCAAGGAACTGTTCACACTCTGGGAGAAGATTGCCACTGGAAACCAAGCGCCAATAGTCACTGGTTATTTTCAGCCGATGCATGATAAATCAGATGACATTTGTGCCTATCATTAAGTCGTCTCGTTGGCCAGACACCACAAGGGCAGGTACGATACAGCTCTCCCCATACAGTTTAATTCCCACTTCGTACATACACTTGGGTTTGCAAAGTGTTATGACCGGCTTGTGGGCCACAACGGAAAGACAACGAGACATACACGAGTTTCCAGAAGCCACGGCACATTTATTTCGGTTGTTCCATATGGTGAACAAGACAGGTGGACGAGAGGAGAGGATCGCTGTGTTGCTCCTTCTGAAGCCGGCTTGGAGAGAGTCAGCGGCACCTGTGACTCCGGGCAGCTGGGCTTAATAGCACTTCGGCTCCGGCCAGGTGTCCGCGATCGCGCTGATTAGCCTCTTCAGCTCCACCCCATCGTAAGACCTGCAACACACCTGCACAAAGGCTCTGGGGCCGTCACAGAAGTGTCCCTCCGCAGCCTATTAGCACAATCTCTTGATTCTGAGAGTATATTCTCACTCAACATCTTCTGCTCTGCCTGCTCGCTGAGAATACAAGCCATGGAACCAGAGTCAAGCATCCCCTGCACCTGAAATGTGTTGTTAATGCTAACAGGGGTGTAAAACAACTCATCAAAAGGGCCCACTCTCTGTGTATTTTGCATTATTACCTTAGCATCGGCTGGTGCTGCTGCGCATGCTTTTATATAATGAGTTTCAATATCACCACTGTTGAGAGTTTCTTCTCTGTTTCCCACACATTCCCTCACTAAATGCGGGCCAGCTAGTTTAAAGGTTGAGAATTCTGTGACGGGAAAGCTGGAGAACCTCGGCCAGCCTGACAGTTAGGACAGTTCTTCTTGATGTGGTTTGGCTCGGAGCATGCTAAGCAGAGGCGTTTCTGCCTGCAGTGTGCAAGGGTGGAATGATCTAGAAACTGGCAGACCCTGCAGGCTTTCTGTTGAAATGGATCAGAGGGGAGTGGTTTGTGTGTAACCTGGTTGTTCTGTGACAATGCTCTGTCAAATAAACTGACTAACATTTTCATACAGTCATCATT